ATCAGCTTTAAATTATCTACAACCGAGCATCCTTTTTAGTGGGTCAATACTAATAGCTCAAAAGTTGAGGCTCAACAAATACCTCATTGTGCTGGTAATAAGCAAACCCAGAATATCCATTCACGCTTTCCCCCCTGTGGATTTCTATGGATCATTTTCTACTGATTACAAGTTCTTTTCCTGAACATTTTGCATTTGAATATATTAATTAGCTCCCCCCCGGCCCTCCCTCCCTCCCTCTCTCTCTCTCTCTCTGTCTCCCTCCCTCCCTCCCTCCCTCCCCCCCCCTCTCTCTCTTTCTCTCTCCAGAATAATTGTGGAAGTTAATGCATATTGAGCATTTGGGGTGGAGGAAAGAACCTGTCCTCAGGTTATTATCATCTTTTCTTTATGGTACAAAAAATAAAAAGAGTATCAACATATCCTATTTAAAGATGTAAATCGCATTAGGAAAGGGGAAAAAAAAAACCAAGTTCTCTCATGACGTTTCTATCATTTTAAACTACGATATTGATTGCAACCCAGTGTGTAATTCCACAAGCACACCACAATTACTCCTTGGTCAATCCTCTTTTTCATCCCTGCAAAAAGTGTGACATCCAGTATTCTGATTTCCCCTGTGCAAGCCACTAAATGATTCCTTCTGATTTCATTACACTGATGTCCGCTTATGCTGGTGGTACGGGAATCAATTTGTGTGCACCTGCATGTGGAATAAGTCCAACACTTCATGGCTGCATTGCTAAGCCCTGAGCATTTTTTTTTAAAAAAAATCATCCTTAGGCTAACTCTAACGCTTCCTATTGTCTTCAAGAATATCATTAGGGGACTAGAGGCTAAAGCATATGAAGAACTGTTGCAGGAACTGGGTATGTCTAGTTTGAGGAAAATAATAACTAAGGGAGACATGACAGCAGTCTTCCAATATCTCAGGGGCTGCCCCAAAGAAGAGGGAGTCAAGCTATTCTCCAAAGCCCCTGAGGGCAAGACAAGAAGCAATGAGTGGAAACTAATCAAGGAGAAAAGCAACTTAGAACTAAGGAGAAATTTCCTGACAGTGAGAACAATTAATCAGTGGAACAACTGGCCTCCAGAAGTTGTGAATGCTCCAACACTGGAAGTTTGTAAGATGATGTTGGATAACCATTTGTCTGAAGTGGTGTAGGGTTTCCTGCCTAAGCAGGGAGTTGGACTAGAAGACCTCCAAAGTCCCTTCCAACTCTGCTATTCTATTCTATTCTATTCTATTCTATTCTATTCTATTCTATTCTATTCTATTCTATTCTATTCTACCCTACCCTACCCTACCCTACCCTACCCTACCCTACCCTACCCTTGATGGCTTGATGGACGTGGCTTGGTTGGCGTGGCAGGGGAAGGATACTGTAAAATCTCCATTCCCTCCCCACTCCAGGGGAAGGTTACTGCAAAATCCCCATTTCCTCCCAATCAGCTGGGACTCGGGAAGCAGAGAATATATGGGGACAGAGCCAGTCAGAGGTGGTATTTACCTCTGGAAATGACAAGGGACGCAGTGGCTCAGTGGCTAAGACTCTGAGCTTGTCAATTGAAAGATCGGCAGTTCGGCGGTGCGAATCCCTAGTGCCGCATAACAGGGTGAGCTCCCGTTACTTGTCCCAGATTCTGCCAACCTAGCAGTTCGAAAGCACGTAAAAAATGCAAGTAGAAAAATAGGGACCACCTTTGGTGGGAAGGTAACAGCGTTCCGTGTGCCTTTGGCGTTGAGTCATGCTGACCACATGACCATGGAGACGTCTTCAGACAGTGCGGGCTCTTTGGCTTTGAAACGGAAATGAGCACCGCCCCCTAGAGTTGGGAACAACTAACACATATGTGCGAGGGGAACCTTTACCTTTACCTTACAGAAATGACATACTCTGAATTGAGACATTCTGTTTGTCAATGTCCCAGTCTCCCACAGATCTTATCTTGCTTAGCTTTTTTTTTTTTTTAAAAAAAGACTAATCTGAAGACAAGGATTTACCATACTTAATCCACTATGGATTGTTAAATGTGAATGCCAACTATTATGTAGAGTACTTAAGCTTTGAGTTAAAATGGCAAAGCATGCAAGAATTTCCACTGCTTATCAAATAAGTAAGGTCCTGGGAAATTATTTATTTTATTTATTTATTAATTTAATTTATATACCGCCCTTCTCCCAGAAGGACTCAGGGCAGTGTACAGCCAAAATAAAACACACAGATACAAAATTTAAAAAACAATTTAAGAAATATTAAATAATTTGGCCCATATCTAATTAAAATAAAACTACCCATTTTGGACATTTAAAAGTTAAAAGTTAACGATTAAAAATTTAAAAATTAGGCCAGCCCGGCTTGTTGGAATAAAAGTGTCTTGAGGGCCCGGCGGAAGGTGTGTAAATCGGAAATCCTCCGCATCTCGGGGGGCAATTTGTTCCAGAGGGCAGGAGCCCCCACAGAGAAGGCTCTCCCCCTGGGGATCGCCAGCCGACATTGTTTGGCCGACGGCACCCAGAGGAGCCCCTCTCTGTGGGAGCGAATTGGCTGGTGGGAGGCTATTGGTAGCAGAAGGCGGTCTTGTAAGTGTAGGGGTTTATTATTATTATTATTTATTTAAGAGTTTCTTGAGTAGATCCAAAGATTTCATGAATGGATGGATAGAGGCAGGGAGGGAGGGATGGACGGACGGACAGACGGACAATGGAAAAAAAAACGTACTCATCTCAATTGGAAATATATTCAAAATCTTAAGGGAAATAGAATATCAGGTTCCTAAATCTTTCCTCCTTTCATTGATGCAGTGGTTTTAATTAAACTTTACCAACCCCTTTGGTTTAATACCTTGATCTGACCTTTTAATACTTCAGAGGTTTTCAATGAAACTGCCAAACGTACCTTGTAAGATGGTAATGTTTCTATGTGTGTGGGTGTTGTCTTAAAAATATCTTACATATTTATATATTATATTAAAGAAAAGATCATCTTTGATCACTAGACAAAATGTATTTCATGCCTGAACTCCGCTATAATTTACACCTGGATGATGGAACGTCTAGTTACGAGAACATTTTCTCTAATACTGACCCCCTACAATTCAGATCCAAAACTTTCCTGAAGAATAATTAGCATAAATACCAGCACCATGGTGAAAATTCATAAAAGCTATGCGAAGTTCTGCAATAGGGAATCGACCATCTGTTTCAAATTACATAAGTGATGGCAAACACTGTTAAATTCATTATATTTAATTGATAAGACCCACATTTAACCTAATCTGAATTTAATTTAGAAACCACCTTCATATTTTATCCATGTGTGCCTATAGATTCGATGGCCAAAATGTTCCGTTGTCAGAATTTAGGCTAGTAGAGTTATAGACATCATCGTCAAGGCAAATTTTGTGGGCTTTGTTCCTTTGGGATTGTATGAAAATAAGATTTTTTTATTATTATTAAATTTTTATACCGCCCTTCTCCCGAGGGACTCAGGGCGGTGTACAGCCAACACTAAAACACATATATACAAAAAATTTAAAAACAATTTAAAAATGTATTAAATAATTTGGCCCCAGTCTTATTAAAAAACTAAAGCAATCATTTAAAATTCACGTTTAGGCCAGGCCAGCTTGTTGAAACAATAAGGTCTTGAGGGCACGGAGAAAGGTGCATAGGTCAGGGATCATCCGTATCTCCGGGGGCAGTTCGTTCCAGAGGGCAGGTGCCCCCACAGAGAAGGCTCTCCCCCTGAGGGTCGCCAGTCGACATTGTTTGACCGACAGTTCCCTGAGGAGTCCCTCTCTGTGGGAGCGTACTGGCCGGTGGGAGGCTATTGGTAGCAGAAGGCGATCTCGTAAGTACCCAGGTCCTAAGCCATGGAGAGATTAATTTATGTAGACCCCATATGTATTATAACTTTTTTTGCATTTTGCAAACCCTTTCTTTTTTTCCAAAATGTGGATGGATGGATAATTGGGCAGGTTTTTAATTTATTCTGCCCCCCCGCCCCAAGATGAGACATGTCTGTAATTTTGCTAAAGCCCTGATTTTAATAATTCAATCAGATGAGAAAAACAGAACATTGTAATTGCACATAAAGATAAGAAACTAAATTTTTGAGATAGTTAACGAGTTGAAAGGTGACTCATCTGTGCTTCAAAGCATTTTGCTGTAACTTTTTATGTCTGCAGCTCTCAAAGATTTTGGTCTCAGCATCACTTTACAGTCTTAAAAATGATCAAGAGCCACCAAAGAGCTTGGTTTATCTCGGTCATATCTATCAATATTTACTGATTTAATGTCTATGGAGATTCTCAGTCATCCAGTTCAGAGGTGGGATTCGTTTACCTTCCCTACCGGTTCACAAATGTGAGCACGCGTGCTCGCTCACTTCGCTTGCATGTGTCACCTCTGCACGTGTGCAGTAATCGCACATTACGTCCAGGCGGGTGGGCGGAGCCTCCCGCAGTACTGCTATCAGTTCGCCGGACCAGAGAAAACCGGCTGAATCCCACCACTGATCCAGATCATGGATGTCCCAAAGGTGTTTTTTTTTTTTTAAAAAAAGGTAACTGGACTTCCTTTGTTTTCCTTGAAGACGTTTTAATTCTCATCCAGAACTGAAGAAGCTTCTTGGATGAGAAGCAAAATATTTTCAAGCAAAACAAAGACAGTTCAGTTGTCTTTTGAAAAAGCACCTTTGGGACATTTCTTGGTTTGGAAAGCAATAATTTATTTGTTTGACTTTGCAGAACTCTGAAAGGGTCTTGAGGATTCCTGGTGCCCCAGGCCACACTCTTAAGAACCACCATTTGTATCCTATTACAATATTTAATTCCATAGTAAAGTGAATTACTTGGTTTCTAGAAAAAGAACTGTCCGTTAGTATTACCTATCTTTATAGTTTGCACAGTCCCACAAGGAACGAATTCAACGTTCAAAAGACCTTCCGCATGTTAGCAGATCAAAATTACCCCCACGTTTTATCTTTTTGATCTACCTTTGCTTGCACTTTCTACATGTTCAAGTTCATCGGGGAATTTTAGGATGTCTTGATATTTCTCTTCACAGATATCAGCCAGGAAATGAAGCAGGGTTGTTTTTTGATCAGATGATTTTGTGTCTCTAATCTGCAAAAAATGGAAGAAACAAGAAAGGGATGAAATATTATTTTTAAAGAACCCTTATGTTATTTTTTTTTTTAAAGGCAGCTTTTAGCAGTTTATAATTTTAGTTCTAATGTTCTTCATTTGCTCTGTGAAATAAAAGAGGTGCTCCAATGGAAGAAAACTAACATTTTTTTGTTATTGTTTTATATGACTTTCTCCTGAAATGCTGTCTAACTATATGTGGAGTGTCTTAAATCTCCTATCACTCAAAAATATATGACTGTGGATGATTCTGTGATTCGGCCGAAGTGGTTGTAGAAAAAATGCTTTTAAAAGTAAAAAAAAAAAAAGTCTCTGATGATCACGCAGCTCAGCTGGGCATGGGGGGGCAGGGATTTTTGCTAACGGTTCTCCGAACCACTCGCCGCCATCGCTACCGGATCGGGCGATCCGGTCCGAACCGGAAGCATTTCACCTCTCCCTTACCCTTACCCGTACCCTTACCCTTACCCTTGTCCTGTCCTGTCCTGTCCTGTCCTAATTTTCTGTTATCTACCAGAATCATATTTTTTTCTTTGCCCAACTCTGTGTATTTTGTTTAAATAAGCATTTAAGCACTCCCTGTACCACTTCAAACCATTAATAAAAATGCTGAAAAGCACTAGACCTTGGGCTGAACCTTGCTGCACTCTATTCAACCCTTCATTTCAGGTTGATGAGAATTTGCTATAAATATTATATGACTTTTGTTTTAAATGAGATGTGAATCCACTTAACGGCCGTGACAACCCGCCCAAATGAAACTTACTAATCAGAACGTCTGCCGCATTTCGCATTGTTCGAATAGCAACAATTGTGAAAATGCTAAACAACCTCCAGTCAATTTATAGACACGCAAAACTTTGAAAGCTACCACTACGGTGTGGTAATCTCCTGACTACTAATGAGGTTGTGGGTTTATTCAAATACTTTCCCCCCCGAACCATAGTTGTATAAATATTAACAGTTCAATGAATCAACAATCATGAATGCTTCAGTGCATATATCAAAACTACTACTTCTGCCTGCCAGCGTTGATGCAGTCCATGAATTCTAATGGAAGTCTCTTTTATTTAAGCAAAATTAAGTCCTGCAATTCTCTGCCAAGGGTTGTTTACAAATTGCTGGTTTCTTCAATCATTCCACACGCTGCAGTATAACATCCCGGATAGATAATGCATTTTTAAGGATTTGCAATCAACATAAAGATATTAGTTTTGCCAGATAGAACCAGACACATTTAATGCATAACTTCTGAAATGTCAGTCTTTCTACATCCACCACTGAAAAAGTGACGTTTCCCGGTGATTCGGGATCAAAAGTGCCCAGGGCTAGATTTGCACAAATCAACAGCACTGTTGCTGATTATATCAAGACAGTCCTTGTGACAGGGCTGATGGGGGAGCTTCACCGCAGTCCACTCAATTAAAAAGGGTAAGGATACCATCTGTTGCTTCTAGAAGATGACTTCCCAATAAGAAAGACTGAGATTAAACTCTCAGTGAACAAAACAAATCTCTTAACTTTTTCTTCAAACTTACATGCAAACATACATAATGATTATGCCCCTTGCATTCTAGTATAACCTCATTCCCAGGTACGTTGCTGTTTCAAAGCCAGCAACCTGAGTTGAAACTCTAACTGCAATTTGTTCAGACCAGACATGGATTGCAAATGGGGTTTTATTTAGTGTTACAGATCACCTTTGTAAAAAATAGCAATAACCCTTAGACTTATATATCGCTTCACAGTGCTTTATAGCCCTCTCTACGCGGTTTTACAGAATCAGCATCTTGCCCCCAACAATCTGGGTCCTCATTTTACCCACCTCGGAAGGATGGAAGGTTGAGTCAACCTTGAGCCTGGTGAGATTCAGACTGTCAAATTGCAGGCAGCCGGCAGTCAGCAGAAGTAGCCTACAGTACTGCACTCTAATCACTGCGCCACCGTGGCTCATTTAAATAAAGATAAAGTCGTGTCCAATTGTGTTCGACTCTAGGGGTTGGTGCTTCTTGGTTAGCCAAGGGAGCCAGCATTGTCCAAAGACATTTCTGTGGTTCGTGCGGCCAGCATGACTATACACCAAGGCGCACCGGATGCTGTTACCTTCCCACCAAAGTGATACCTATTTATCTATTCGCATTTACATGGTTTTGAACTGCTAGGTGAGCAGGAGCGTTGTGTGGCGCTCAAGTCTCGAACCCAGGCTGCCAGCTTTTCAGCTGACAATCCCAGCATCCTTAACTGTTGAGCCGACACAATCCCCTTTGTAAAATATAAGGCAAAAATAACACAAAAAGCAAGTCTCTTCATGACCCAGTAAAAGCTATTCTACCACAAACATCTTTATTTTAGTACTGTATGTTTTCAGTTCACCTTGCCAGTCATAACTACAACCTGTACTTATGATTTACAACCCACAGACAATTTTCAACCATATACTAGTACCCTGTTTTCTTGAAAATAAGACCCAACTGGAAAATAAGTCCTAGCATGATTTTTCATGATGCTCGTAATATAAGCCCCACCCCAAAATAAGCCTCAGTTAAGATTGTCGGCCAGACAGATGTATTTAGTACAGTATTTCCCCCCAAATAAGAACTAACTAGAAAATAAGCCCTAATGCGTCTTTCGGAGCAAAAATTAATATAAGACACAGTCTTATTTTCATGGAAACACGGTAGCATAATGTTTTTTTTATTTGACATTTAGATTCAGCTGCACATCTTTTTTTATCATAGTGTTTATGAACTGTGACTTTTTAATTGCCCTTATTACAAGTTATATTTGATAAATAAAACGATGTGAATATACAACACAAGAACAGATTAGCCTTAGAATAATACAACCATCGTTCTAAAAAAAGAAGATGTTTTCTCATCTCATTTTTTTTTTTCCAGAGAACTATGATCTTGGCTGCCCTCATTAATACATCTAGAGGAGCAGTGGATAAAAGTAGCATCTTAACCACAGAGTCAGATCTAGATATATTTTAGCTGCTATTTATTAATGATGTTCTCATAGAATTATCTATTTTCAACTCTACAAGGACATTAAACTCTACATTAAATTTATAATCAAATTGTAAAATATGTAAATAAGTTACCTCAAATATCCTCAATTTTCAAGGTTATTCTGAGAGAAGGATATTATTTCTTATTCCCACTCACTTTAACATAACTATTATAGGACTAATTTCCCAGTAGAATGTATAGTTGGATACACACACAAAAAAAGAGATATATCCACTTAGCTACTTCATACACCCAAAATCTTACAGAAATTAGTCTTTAAAGATTTCAGATCCAGGAAAGGAAGGTAATTATAAATATAATTTTAAGAAAAGGCAAAACTAAAGACATTCTTCCTAATTCATTACTAAGAAACGGCGACTGATGTGGAGGGTACATCCATGTTATAAATTTATTTGTTGATTAAAGCGATGCTCATTATGGATTACCATTGACACAAATTTATTTTCTCTTTTAATACTAGCGATTGAACACCAGAGAGAGAGAAATTACAAAAGCTGGAATTTGATGCTTGGGCCAAACCCATTAGCTTGACGGTCTCATTCAAATCCTCCCTAATACGTATTGTGCATTTTCTAAAGACTTAGTTGTCATTGCGATTCCTGATAGCACCATCACAACTGAGCCATCCCAAATACATTTTAAGATACTCTTTATCGACATTGCGATAGTTACAACTCCTTGGAAGTCCAGCATGCTACATTTAGAGAAATGCACCCAGTAATTCACGCAGTATTAATTATAAACAGGAGGGGCCATATAATCAGGTTAATCCATGCTTGAATCATCTCTGTGTCTGGATATACAAAAGATTTAAATGATAACTTTTTCATAACATGCTTTTTCAAATGCTGCTTTAATCTCCTCCTTTCCCCCATCCTACCCCCAACAGGTCTGCTGCTGTTGTTATACCTTTTCAGTTTGCATTAAAGCTATTATTTATTGTGCTGCAGCCACTAAGAAAGATGTTATTTCCTTCCCAATTCAGTTGGATAATGGTCAGTGAAATTAAGCTGTCCTTTGGATTAAACCTCACATTCTCATTTCCCCAGATTGGGTTCAAAGGACTTATTGCTGTTCTCTTTTTTTCCTTTTTCCCCCCCCCTCTCTTCACACACACAAGCAAACAGGTCTGGGATTTACATAAAACAGCACATTAACTACAAATGTCCGCAGTAGTTAGTTCCCCACAGAAAAATTAAGGATACGTTAAATTTCTGAAATAGAAAACTGGGTTCCACATGGTACACTATTCAAGGTATTAAATCAAAGCGAGGCAGAAAGAGAGAGAGAGAGAGGAAAAAAAAGCAGATTGGAAAATCTGACCTGCTCTTCAACACTTTTCACTATAGATAGGACTTGGAAATTAGGAGCAATATTCCAATTTAAAAGGGGTAGGTTTTGTTGTTTGTTTTTTTGGGAAAATGGGTGCAGAAAAATGTAGGTAGCCTTTGACTTATGACCACAATGGAGCCCAAAATTTATATTGCTAAGCAAGACAACTGTTAAGTGAATTTTGTTCTATTTTATTGTTTTTTTTTTGTTTTGTTTTTTTGCATAACTGTTAAGTGATTCACCGGAGTTGTTAAGTTGGAAACACGGTTGTTAAGTGAATCTGGTTGCCCCATGGATTTTGTTGGTCAGAAGGTCGCAAAAGGGAACCACATGATCCCGGGACACGGCAACCGTCATAAATATGAGTCAATGGCCAAGCATCTGAATTTTGATCCCGTAACCATGGGGATGCTACAATGATCATAAGTGTGAAAAAATGTCATAAGTCCCTTTTTTCATTGTCTCTCTCCCTCTCTCTCCCTCCCTCCCCCCCTCTAAATATGTTTACTACCGGTTCTGTGGGCATGGCTTGGTGGGAGTAGTGAGGTTTGGTGGGTGTGGCAGGGGAAGGATACTGCAAAATCACCATTCCCACCCTACTCTGGGGCCAGCCAGAGGTAGTATTTGCATCTATCTCTATTTATCTATCTATATCTATCTATCTGTGTAGTCAAGGCTATGGTGTTCCCAGTTGCAATGGATGGCTGTGAAAGTTGGACCATAAGAAAAGCTGAGCTCCAAAGAATGGAGGCCTTTGAACTCTGGTGCTGGAGAAGACTCCTGCAAGTCCCTTGGACTGCAAGACGATCAAACTGGTCAGTCCTAGAGGAGATCAACCCTGACTGCTCTTTAGAAGGCCAGATCCTGAAGATGAAACTCAAATACTTTGGCCACCTAATGAGAAGGAAGGAGTCACTGGAGAAGAACCTAATGCTGGGAACGATTGAGGGCAAAAGAAGAACAGGACAGCAGAAAACGAGGTGGCTGGATGGAGTCCCTGAAGCAGTCGGCATGAATTTAAAGGGACTCCAGAGGATGGTAGAGGACAGGAAGGCCTGGAGGAATGTTGTCCATGGGGTCACGATGGGTCGGACACGACTTCGCAAATAACAACAACAAAATATCTCTCTCTCTCTCTCTCTCTCTCTCCCTAGCTACCTACCTACCTACCTTACTTGGTCTGTTGTGTGGATGTTTGGGTGGTTTAGGGGTGGGGAATTTGTGGTGAGTAGGCGGTGTTTGGGGATTGTTATGTGTGTTGGACCTGGTCTTTGGGTGTAAAGTGAATTTTGTTGTATGGGTATACTGTGTATACACGTACAATTACAATAAAGTTGTTGTTGTTGTTGTTGTTGTTATTATTATTACTATTATTATTGGTTAATCTTTAGTGAGATTCACAGCCTTTGAGGCTGGTTAATAGCTCAGCAGCTCGAGTCCTAACTAAGGACCTAGGAACTGTTAAGGTATAGTTGGAGGATGTAAGCTGTTCCGAGTAAGGTGGTTTTTTGTAGAGTCAAAATATTCAAGTCCGGCAAATTTAGAATTTCTAAATAGCGGGGTAGCCCTTTGGGTATTGCTCCAAGGGCTCCAATTACAATCGGGACAACACACGATTTCTTTTTCCACAGTCGCTCAACTTCAATTTGCAAGTCCTGGTACTTTGTGATTTTTTTCTTGCTGCTTATCTTCAATCCGTGCATCACCAGGTATTGCAATGTCAATGAACCATACTTTTTTCTTTTCAACTATTGTTATGTCAGGTGTGTTGTGGACCAAGTGCCTGTCAGTCTGAATCCTAAAGTCCCACAAGATCTTGAGTTTCTCATTCTCTAAAACTTTCTCAACCTGATGTTCCCAGTGGTTTTTGCTGTACTCAAATCCAAACTTCTGGCACAATTTCCAGTGAATGATCTTAGCAACACGGTCATGGCGTTGTAGGTAGTCAGTTTGTGAAATTTTGCTGCACCCACTGATCAGGTGGTCGAGTGTCTCATCTTTCTCATTATTATACTTATTATTATTATTATTATTATTATTATTATTATTATTATTATTATTATTATTATTATTATTACCTATTTATCACCTGCTCCTCAATACTTGTCACTATGGGTAGGACTTGGGAAGTAGAACCAACATTCCAGTTTAAAAGGTGAGTTTATACACACACACACACACACACACACACACACACACAGACAAAGTGGGTGGAGAAAAAAAATGTACTGGCACTCGAAAAAATGTATTTTTATCCATTTTGCAAAGTAGACTCACCTTGCAAAGGAAACTAATATTAAAACCCAGCGATTGGGCATTTCTTGAGCCGGAATTCATGTAGTTCCCAATCATTAGCACAAGTTCTAAAAGCTTAGTGAAGCTTTCACTCTTCTTCAGCTCCTCACACGCGATCGTGACAGCCATGATGCCAGGTTTGATGTTGTTGATGTGCTCTTCAAACGTAAGCTTGAAAAGGATCCCGTTGAGACGAGGCTGCAGCAGTTTCACTGAGCTCATCTGGAAAGGAAGAGGAGGAACGGGTGGGGGAAAAAAAATAAGATGCTTCAGACAATAAAACAGATGAATAGCAACATTTCTAGGGGATTTTTTTTCCACCGGTTTAGGAATGTACAGCTTTAAATTTAAATTAGGTACTTGTTGGTTGGTTTGTTGGCTGGCTGGTTGGTTGGTTGGTTTTTCAACCTAAGGAAAATAAAAATTGCTTCCAGGCTTAATTAATTAATTTCATGGACAGAAAGACACATAGACAAGTCAGAGAGAGGGAGGGAGGGAGGGAGGGAGACAGAGACAGAGACAGAGACAGAGAGAGACAGCAAGAGACAGAGAGAGAGAGAGAGAGAGAGAGAGAGAGACAGAGACAGAGACAGAGACAGAGAGATAGAGAGAGACAGAGAGAGACAGAGACACACAGAGAGAGAATCTCCACGGAATCTGTAAGAAAATCCTACACTGAGAGAAGAAATTTTGGATCCTGGCAACTTAAATGAGCAAATACTCGAAGTTTTCTAGCCAGCATGAAGTGGTTGAAACTTTTTTCTAGGGCTAAAGAGAGAAAATGGCCCAAAGTAACATAGCTGGCTTTTGTCTCCTGTTTCTATCTTGGTGACTTTAGCTACTCCCCTCATCACTTCCTCATACTTATTTGTTCATTCATTCCCTAGTTTACTAGTCCTTTACGTTTAAATGGTTTACCGTTTGTTTGTTTGCAAAGAAGTCAGCTTATCAACAACATAAATAACTAAAGTAACCAAGAAACAAAACCTGAGACAAATGGTACCCCCTTGATGTGCATTGCCATTTAACTTAAAATCTGGCCTTTATCAACTTTGCTAGGGATCACAAATGTTTGTATTTACAAGACATACAATTACAGAATAGCTTTACTGTGTCACGAAAGAAGGGAGAACCTGAAATACTGAATAAATATTACAATGCACATTATCTGGTGATTTTTGTTTCCTGCTTTCCCAATAACGCAACCTGTCACTTTATTTCTCCAAATAGTTTTATCAATACCCATTTGAGATAGTAAAAACACTTTTTTTCCTCTTGACGATATTTTCCAAAGTGATATTATTGTAGAGATTTCTATATACAGTGCATTTTAAAGAAGGATAACCCTTATAAGCAAAACTCAGGCTTCCATTAGCTTAATCAAAGCCCTTGTGATATGCATTGCCAAAGATTTATAGAACTATATTTAATCTCCATTTAGAATGATGTTGATCTCCATTGCAGAGCTTCTATTATGGTTAGTAACAGCGTAATAATCTTGCAAATAATGTTGATGTATACAAACAAGAGCATGAACAGATACAATTACTAAATGTTTTTTTTTAGTGTTGCCGCAGAATTATAGCTTACTAAGCCTCGTGTAAGCCTGGAAAACAATTTGACTGAAAACGATGATAGTTGTCAGATATGATTCTATGTTGCATTTCATAAGACTTAGATTCTGGTTTTATGATTCACTATGTAAAGTGCCCAGGGATATTGAATGCAATTGCATAATATGTAGGGGTTTGGTTATATTATGAAGTCACTGTCCATCAAAACACCACCAAGGAAATTTCATTTTTCAACCTGATCCATATTTAAAAAAAGAGGAAGCAACAATAGCTTATAAAAGCTGTTACAAGTACATTATTTCCCTACAGACCTTCCGATAGATTTATGCTTTTGCTACTTAAAGCATTTCCAAATGGCCTTTTCCCTCTTTTGAGCACATAAAATAATCAGATTCTTTCACCCTGGTAGATCTCCTTCAAGAGGGTTATTTTTTTTCTGTCATCCTGAAGGTCAAATGATATTCTTAAAAGGAGTTAAATCTATAATTCATGTCAGGCGGAGAAAAGTTAATTCCTCTAAATTGTGTTCCAATCCAATCATGCATCTACATGCTTGGAAAGCCGGCTTGTAATATTTAAGAGCTAAATACATTTTTTGCTTAATGTTTATTTTTCTGATCTTCCAATAAAGATTAAAAGGACTGAGCAGGAGCAGGGAAGAAAAAAAGGAGTGAATTAAAGCAGTGTAGAGAGAACTGAAGAAATAATAAATACAATCAACATTATTGTACTTGAGATATGTATGTGACAATTAAATTGTATATTTGTTGTTAATGTTTTCTTTAGATTACCATGGTAAAATTCATAAAATATGTCAGGAAGCGCTTATTAAATCCTAAATTATTTCTTTGTAATCAGAGAAATCCCAAATAAGAAACATTAAAGCAACATCAAAACTATAAACAGTTTTGAACATGTCAATTTTCATAACTGAAACTTAAGATATCAACTATAGTAACTTCTTTGTTTTCCATCATTCAATTTCATCTTCCTCCAAATCACTGCAAAACTTTTTTATTATTATTATTACACTAGGATACAATTCCAAATGCTGTACCTAATTTGAAGACATAATTCATCTTAATGTTTCATCTAAATGAAAATGTGATGCTCCAATTTTCATGCACAAATAAGAATATTAAGCTAATTAGACTGTTATAATAAGTCACCTAATTAGAAAGTGTGACTTTTCTAAATGAATTTTAACCATCTAATTTTGACCTTTATTAGATTTGATGGGTATATTGATTATCCAATTAAAGCCTTATATTAATCATTAACTTACCTAATGTGTATATGCAAATAGGTGTGTGCATCCTGAGGAAAGTAAACAACCTCTCACCTTCAGATACAAATTGCAAGCAACCTATACTTTTTAAACACCAGGGCTCAGATTATTATAAGCAGGAGTCCTTTTAGAAATGATGTGGTTTTAAACTGCAGGCTGAATAAGAGGAATCTATAACAATGCTCAGATTTTATAAGCAGCACCTTTGAAGGGTTCAATGAGTTTGTATAGCAAAGATGTGATCCTCTAATTCCATCATTTAACAAGACTCTCTAACAAACAGCACATTTTATATACGTATATCAGTGGTGAAATCCTACCAGTTCGCACCGGTTCGGGAGAACCGGTAATGATAAAATCTACCGGTTCAGAGAACCGGTAGTAAAAAAATGATACTGGTTGGTCCGAACTGGTATTTCCGATGATCAGCTATGCCGCATGATTTATATTCGTTAGAAAGCAGGAAATCCTGCTTTCTAGCTAATCTAAATTGTGTGGCACAGCTGTCCCCCCCCTTGCTGTTCTACTTATCTTCAAACGGCTCCTTTTTCCGTGCAAAGCGTGCATTTGGCGCGCACTGCGCATAAGTGGGCAGCGAACCAGTGGCAACCAGTGGAGGATTTTACCACTGATGTATATGTATGGGAAAGTTGGTTTTCAGTTAAAATATGGAGTTAGATGTCATGTATTAGTACATCTGGGTGACTTAGTTAAAAACTGTCAGGCTAAGGCAAAGAACAACATAGAATCATCCAGCCAAATCTTTATTTGTGTACATGCAACAGACAGAATCTTGCCAGACTAAACTCTTACTACTCTCATCCAAATGGATATGTATGGGAAGCTCTAGGGCATGACTATCCTTACTCTTTTCCTCTATATCTTATCCAGTCCTGGGCTGGGTTGTCCCTTATATCTGCCCCCTCCCATTTTTCTCGCCTTCTCTAGGCAACGTCTCTCACCAAAGCCTAAATTAAGATAATTCTTCTCCAAAGAATACAAAATGGGGCAAAATAAGATTAGAAATGATTCTGGAAGGTTTAGCGATCATGAAGGTATTTGGGTCCACATAGGCAAACAGCTTATAAGGTTGAAAACATCATTTGAGCAGAGGTTTAAGACTGCCTTGAAAAAAAATGCATTGGAATGAAGTTTTAGACCCAGGAGGTTAAATGGTAATAAAAAGGCAGTGAAGGTGGGTCAGAGAGATATATTGGAAAGACAAAGAATAGCATCCTTTAGCTCCTAATCACTTTCCGCTCATATTCATGCTCCGTGATCCATAAACAGGTGAATCGTTCCTAAGTCCAGCAGAATTCTTTGCAATACATAAAACAATAATAAAAATGTATTTTTGTGTGTAAGCTGCGGATTTGCAGATAAATAGAACAACTGTCAGAGATTAACACTCCCTCCCAAAATAGGGCCTCAACACTGTGTGAATAAATTATATATTCCCTACGAGTTTCAACGTGGCAAAATTCTCCCATGGATGGATGTGATGGTTCTTAAGTGGACTATTATTTTGGATAATTACAGCAGTTCTCCATGTAAGGTGTTGTTTGGCTCTAATCTTACCCCAAGTGTTTTTTTTTTTCCTTTTCTTTTACGCTATGGGATTATACAGGATGAACTCTGAAAAATTTACTCAGCCTGGAACATCTTGGAATCCAAAGAGACCCAAAAGAAGCTTAAATGACAAGTGTGAAAAAATATGGCGATTCTGTTCTAAAGGAAAAGACATTCACATGACTTGATGGAGCCCTAAGGGAAGATAAACGTACAAAAGAAACAAAGACTTCTGACAGCGTAACCGAAAGAAAATCAGAGGAGCTGCAATCAACACCTATAAAACTGCTAATATAGAAATGTAGTTCAAATTGAGTGATATCTTTTTTTTCCCCTCTTACCATGAAGTTTTCTTTTCCTAGACTGTACCTCACAGTGTCCCTTGAAGCAATGTTTTAGCTTTGATGAAAATTGTAATATCTGCTTTAGAGGAAGGTACTAGATGAAAATATCCAAGTAACTTTGTATCATTGTTCTGAACCTTTTTTTTTCTCCCCAATAATCTTATAGAAGTATTAATGAATTTAAAATATTTTTATGTTTGCAGAGAAGTTGGAAAAAGATATTCCAAGTATCTTTAATTTCACAATTAATTACACCATTGGACTGGTGATTAGAGATCCAGCTAGGTGGGCACATCTAGCTAACCTTGGATCATCATGACAAATAAGGTCAGGCATGATTACGAATTTTAGCTAGAGTATAAGTAGAATAAGTATTTTATGGAGAGGAGAGTGGGGAACCGAGGAAAGGAGAGGAGAGGAGAGGAAGGGCAGGAGAAGCAGAAGGAGGAGGAACAGAAGGAGGAGGAGGAGAAAAGAAGAATGGCAGGAGAAAGAGGAGAGGAAGGGCAGGAGAAGCAGAAGGAGGAAAAGGAGAAGGAGGAGGAAGAGAAGGGGAGAAGGATAAAAGAGGAAGGGCAGGTGAAAAAGGAGAGGAGAGGAAGAGCAGGAGAATGAGGAGAAGGAAAAAAGAGGAAGGGCAGGAGAGAGGAGAGAGGAGAGGAGAGGAGAGGAGAGGAGAGGAGAGGAGAGGAGAGGAGAGGAGAGGAGAGGAGAGGAGAGGCAGGAGAAGCAGAAGAAGAAGGAGGAGGAAGAGGAAGAGAAGGAGAAAAGAGGAAGGGCAAGAGAAAGAGAAGGGAGGAGAGGAGAGGGAGGGCAGGAGAAGCAGAAAGAGAAGGAGGAGGAGGAGGAGAAAAGAGGAAGGGCAGGAGAAAGAAGAGAGGAGAGAGAATTCAACTTACCACAATTCCAAATTGTTCTGACTCACAGAGATCTTCATATTCATTCTTCAGTTCAGCTAAGGCATTAAGTTCTTTTTGTTCAGGGAGGTTTTTAACCAAGTTCTAGTGTGAGAAACAAAAATTAGGGATTACTGCTCTTCCCTCTTTTGGAAGGGAAGACAACAATTCGAGGTCTTCACACTGTCCCACCCATCTTTCTCCCAGCATTACAATGATGTCCAATCGTATGAAAAAGTTATTTGCAGTAGTTAAAAGACTGTCTCTTCTTTGCAATGTCCTAAACTTGCAAAATGCATTATAACTTCAAAGGATTATTTTGATATCCATTGAGCAATTACTTTTTCATGAAAAGCAGTTTTTTTTTCCCCTTCTTCTTAATTCACAGGCAGGCAATCCCCAAATATTCGCTGTTTGGGAATTATTTCATTCACCACCTGTTCAATATACTGAAAACATTTCTGCAGAGTTTTTTTAGCAAAGGGTTGTGTAGATCCTGGCTCCAAATATAATGAGGTGGTAGTATAACCTTGAAATATGAGCCAGTGGTTTTGTTCCATATATTCATGACAGCGTCCATTCCACTCGTGGGCGTGAAAAGGGGGCTTCGGTGTGAATCATGAAATTACATTTCCTATTCAGCCCTTCTGACAAATGGTTCGATAAAGCCTTATATCAAAACAATTGCAAATTATAATCAGGCATCCTTTATTCCAGATTCTGGAACCTTCCCTGATCAAATTCTTCTCCAGGCAGCCGTTGTTGCTGTTGTTATGCCAGAATATGTTAACTAAGGTACCCTGTTTCCCCCAAAATAAGAGATCCCCTGATAATAAGCCCAATCGGGCTTTTGAGCGCATGGCAATAAGGCCAAGCGCTTATTTCAGGGTTCAAAAAAATCTAAGACAGGGTCTTATTTTCGGGGAAACACGGTAGTGACAAGGGGTTCAACTGGGGTATATTTTGGAAGACTTGGATGATAAAAACGTAAAATTATGGCTGCTTCAGAAAGATTCTGAAAGCAAAAAAATCCTAACCAATCCTAAAAGCGCTAATGGCACAGTGGTTAGAATGCAGTATTGCAGGGTAAATTCTGCCCACTGCCAGCAGTTCGATCCTGACGGCCTACAAGGTTGACTCAACCTTCCCTCCTTCTGAGGTCAGTAAAATGAGGACTCAGATTATTGGGGCATTATGCGGAATCTGTAAACTGCTCAGAGAGTGCTATATATAAGTCTAAGACAGATGTCTCAAACTCGATTTCATTCAGGGCCACATCAGGGTTGTGTTTGACCTCAGGAGGCCGGGGTGAGCATGGCCAGCTCGAAGTCACTCATGTCAGGGGCGCCTGTGGTGCACCGAAAACACTGCCAGCAAAAAATGGGCTCCTGAGCTCCGTTTTCGGCTGCAACGGCCTCCTGGAAACCTCTGCCAGTGAAAATGGAGCCCGGGAAGGCGCCTGCGGCCCTCCCAAGCTCTGTTTTCACTGGCAGAAAAACCACAGGCTGGTCATTTGCTGTTTCCAGGATGGCCCCATGGGCCAGATCTGGCCCACAGGCCTTGAGTTTGGCACCCCTGGTCTAAATACTGTTGCTATTGCTAACTACAATAGTCATCAATTTACAATCACAATCAATCCCAAAATTTCTGTTGCTAAGCAAAACAATTGTTAAGTGTGTTTTGCCCCATGGTATGGTACTTTCTTGCCAAGTTGTTAATTGAATCACTGTAGCGGTGAAGTTAGTAACACAGTTAAGTGCATCTGGTTTCCCCGTTGACTTTGCTTGTCAGGAGGTCGCAAAAGGTAATCACTTGACCCCGGGACACTCCAAGCATCATAAATAATGAGTTAGCTGCCAAGCATCTGAATTTTGATCGCACGATTGTTGCAATGGTTGTTAAGTATGAGAAACTGTCATGTCACTTTTTTCCAGTGCTGTCATAATTTCACTAAACAAATGGTTGTAAGTTGAGACCTACCTGTAATCAATGAAACACACCCCTCATCATTGCAAATTTATTAAAAGCATTTCCTTTCATTAACTTTGCTTTATTTATTATTTGGAGGAGGAGGGTTGTAGAACCTGCCAAAGTGCAATACGTACCATGGGATGGCAAGGACTATGTATACAGTAGTGGCCAAGTGTGGAAAAGTGTATTTTTGAGGTTTGATGGCTAACAACAACACTTTTTTTTTTTTTTTTTTGGAGTTTCAAATTAATTATATTCCACTGCTGGAATGGCCTGGGAACAGCCCAGACCTTAATCCAATTGAAAATTTATGCAGCCGACTAAAGAAACTTGTGAGTCAGAAGCGACCCAGCAATAAAATCCAGTTAATAGAAGCAATCGTTCAATCTTGGTTTCACATTATAACGGCTGCAGAACTAAAAGACCTGGTTCACTCCATGGGAAGATGTTGTAAGGCCGTCATTCATACTAAAGGTTAAGTATTAACTGACATGGTGATCATTTTTGTATATCTCATTTTTTCTACTTGTTTCACTTTCCTTCTTTATACTGTAACTGCTATTCTAATAGCAAGTCCTTCATGAAAGTGATTGTATTGCATTCTTGATTAAATTATCTTTCCATTGATATATCATTTTATGGTACGACTCCAAAAATAAAAAGTGGTGTTATTAGCTAGTTTTAGAAAATACATTTTTCCCAAAAAGTTTCCACAATTTTGGCCACTACTGTAAACTGAAAATGAGAGAAAGCTTGACTCTGAAGAGATTACAACAGAAGTAGAAGGTAAAGAGAGAAGGTTCAATGAATACAGAAATAGAGGAAGGTCAACATTCAGTGTCAGAACTGAGTTGAAGACTTCTCAGTGGGCATTTTTGCACCCAGTTGGGATTATTACAAACTTTTGAAAGCCTCTTGGGGTGGAGGATGTCAACTGTTCAATAATTCTTATTTTCTCCACCCAGAATGTTCTCATCCTCACCTCTTAACACATGGGAAGCAAAACAATTAAACGAAAGCTATTGTTAATATCATGCCATAACAGTGGTGAAAGCAAAAATCCTCCTTGTGGTTTTTCAGAGGAAAATGTATCTTGACCTCACGCTATGTGGTCAACGACAAACATTCAAAAGGGAAAAAAACATTCATCAACACCCACTGTCTGCTCCAAGGAGAGAAATGTGTGTGGCAATTCTAAGCTGTTTGTTGTTTCCATGAAATAGTGTATTGCTGAGCACATATATATGCTGAAAGCAACATATATATCTGTGATGGCGAACCTATGGCATGTGTGCCACAGCTGGCACACAGAGCCCAGTTCAGCTCCACCGCGCACGCGCACGCCTCCCACCCGCCAGCTGATTTTTGGTATGCGCAGGGGACTGGGCACATGCGGGAGATGCACACACATGTGCAGGGGGTTGTATGTGCATACATGGGGTTTAGCACGCATGCGCAGGGGCGGGGGTGTGGTGCACCCCTCCCGGCCCGTTTTTGGGCCCAGAAGACTGCAGGGAGGCCTACTAGGCCCAAAACGGGGGCAGGGGGTCGCCGGTGGGGAGCATAGGGGGTTGTGTGCGCATGCGTTGGGGACTTGGGGGGTTGTGCGCGCATGCGCGGGGGCACATGCATTGCATTATGGGTGCCGGCACGCTTGCACTTTCGGCACACGAAGAGAAAAAGGTTACTGATTACATCACTGATATATATGCTGAAAGTACTTTTGTGCAGTGGATGAGCTGCGAGAGTATAAGGAGAAAGTTAAAATAAAACACATGCCACATCGAATAGCTTGGGAGCTAGATCGGAGGTCGCTTTTAATGTATCACTGACTGGTTTTTCTGTTTCCTACACACATCAGGCAGAGTGAAATCGTTTTATAAATACACCGGAGCATGATGTGAATGCCATTTGTCAACACCTGTTCTATCAGGACACTGCGAGCTCTTTCACTCTCACTATACTGAAAGGAAATAATAATAATAATAATAATAATAATAATAATAATAATAATAATAATGATAATGATGATAATGATAATGATAATGATAATGATAATGATAATAATAAATTGTTGTTGTTGTTGTTGTTGTTATTGTTGTTGTTATTGTTGTTGTTGTTATTATTATTATTATTATTATTATTATTATTATTATTATTATTATTATTATTATTATTATTATTATTATTATTATTATTATTATTGGTTAATCTTTAGTGAGATTCACAGCCTTTGAGGCTGGTTAATAGCTCAGCAGCTCGAGTCCTAACCAAGGACCTAGGAACTGTTAAGGTATCGTCGGAGGATGTAAGATGTTCCGAGTAAGGTGGTTTTTTGTAGAGTCAAAATGTTCAAGTCCGGCAAATTTAGAATTTCTAAATAGCGGGGTAGCCCTTTGAGTATTGTTCCAAGGGCTCCAATTACAATCGGGACAATACACGATTTCTTTTTCCACAGTCGCTCAACTTCAATTTGCAAGTCCCGGTACTTTGTGATTTTTTTCTTGCTCCTTATCTTCAATCCGTGCATCACCAGGTATTGCAATGTCAATGAACCATACTTTTTTCTTTTCAACTATTGTTATGTCAGGTGTGTTGTGGACCAAGTGCCTGTCAGTCAATTGTTGTTGTTGTTGTTGTTGTTGTTGTTGTTGTTGTTGTTATTATTATTATTATTATTATTATTATTATAGCAAAATTTCACCAACTGTCAGCAGCTTTCAAGCCTCTTTATCCCTGTTACTGCTGGGAAGACAGCTATGGGATCTGTGATACCCAAAGATGAAAACGGACTTAAGAAATTCTCAGCCTTAGATGCAATAACAAGGGCTTCAGTTCAATAATGGGAGATAGTCCCTGACTTGCCACCATTCGTTTGACAACACTGTTGTCAAAGTTCCAATATCTCAGGGGCTTCCACAAAGAAAAGGGAGTCAAACTATTCTCCAAAGCACCTGAGAGAAGGACAAGAAGCAATGTGTGGAAACTAATCAAGGAGAGAAGCAACTTAGAACTAAGGAGAAATTTCCTGACAGTGAGAACAATTAATCAGTGGAACAACTTGCCTCCAGAAGTTGTGGATGCTCCAACACTGGAAGTTTTTAAGAAGATGTTGGATAATCATTTGTCTGAAGTGGTGTAGGATTTCCTGCCTAAGCAGGGGGTTGGACTAGAAGACCTCCAAGGTCCCTTCCAACTCTGTTATTCTATTTCTAAAGTGACGTATGGCTGTGTTTTATATTTATGACCATTGCAGCAATTCCATGGTCATGTGATCAAAATTCAGATGTTTGGCATATTTATGAACTTTGCTGTGTTCCAACGTGATACCCATTTCCCACCTTTTGACAAGCAAATTCTGTGGGGAATCCGTGTTACCAACTGAACAACTGCAGGGATTCACTTAACAACTACAGCAAGGAAGGTTGTTAAAATGAGGCAAGGCTCACTTAACAATTGTCTCGCTTAGCAACAAAAATGTCAAGGACTATCTGCAATCAACCTTAGATGGAATCTAAGAGTGCTTGAGTTCAATCATTATGTTCCAGAGCTGGTTCTTTGCTTCCATTCATAAAAATGGATGAAAATTGTCTTTAGAGCAGTGAGGAAAAAAGGAAAAGTACAACTTTCAACATTCGAAATCTCTATTACAAGGTGGATTGTTTGTGCATTGTTTTGGAGTGGTGCAGTAGCCTAGAGGTGAAGCTCTCGCCTCAGAATTAGGAGGCTGTGAGTTCGATCCTAGGTAGAGACAGATAGATGGATGGATTGGATGAGTGGCGCTGTGGCCTACGGGTGGAGCTCTGGCCTCACAATCAGGAGGCTGTGAGTTTGATCCTAGGTAGAGGCAGATATTTCTCTCTTTGGGCACAATGAGAATATATCTGCTGAACAAAACTCCGTACTGGTGACAGGAAGGACATCCGGCCATTAAACACCCTGTTAGCTCCATTCAGTTGCCCAGACTCCACCCTGCAAGGGATTATGGGGTTGTTGAAAGATGATTTTTCTTTGTGCATTGTTTTCAGGTCTTATTCCATACATGAGCCCGATATAGCTCAGCATATTCATAGTTATATGACAGTTAAACATTTTAAACCCCCCCCCTCTTTCTGAGTACAGCCCACACAACCAACTAGAGGAAGTGAATAGAAGGTATTTATGACAGTAGTGAAAAAACGTAGCGTTTAATATCTCGTGCTTCATATCTCTAATTCTGCAGCACGTCAGCGCAGCGATGTTAAAAACTGCCCATTAAACCGAACCAAGACATCAGTTAAACTACCTTTCACATTTCTGCAATAATTTAACAGAAACTTTTATTTTCTGGAAAATGTTAATTGCACACTTAAAGGTTAGTTAAGTGAAAATATTGAAACAGGTGCCCTTTCTTGCATTCAAAAATATCACCTTTCTTTCCTGTCTCAAAACAACTCGTTAAGTGATACTGTTCTTGGGCTTCTTTTGTGGATTTTCATTATTAAACCTATCATAACAGATAAGAGATAAGTCCTTTCACAAATTCAAATGAAAGCCTTGTTTCCAATTCAAAGTCATTTCTAGCAGACTCTGAATTGGTATATTGAACAATTGTTCAATATGACTGCTTATTATGGTTATTATTATTATTATTATTATAATACGAATTCGGAATACTCCATGAAATCGGGGTGTCAAACTCAATTTCATTGAGGGCTGCATCAGGGTTGTGTTCAACCTTGGGGGGGACAGGGTGGGTGTGGCTAGGGGAAGCGTAGCCAGCCCAACGTCACTCATGTCGGGGGCGCTTGTGGTGGCCCAAGCGCTCTGCCAGCAAAAATAGGCTCCCAAGTTCCGTTTTCGGCTGCAATAGCCTCCTGCAACCTTCTACCAGTGAAAATGGAGCTTGGGCGGTCTTACCGAACTCCATTTTCGCTTGCAGAGGCACCGTGGGCCGGTCCTTTGCTGTTTCCAGGGTGGGCCCCGGGCCTTGAGTTTGACACCCCTGCCGTAAAAGATCAAGCTACTCCATGGTTGTCTGTTTCTGATTCTCATTATCTGTAATCCCAGGTTTTCTAGATATGCTGAAGCAAAACTCACACCAACTAAAATATTGAGATGACACAATTAATTAGATTGCTACGGTATGCTAAACAGGATTTTTAAATTATTGTGAATCAACATGCATGTTTGTGAATGTGATCCTACTGTTCCCTGCTGGGAACATCTGATCCAGCTGGATCAGCTGGATTTCTCCCTCCCTCCCCATTTTTAAGGATGATCTTCCCTGAAGGTTTTCAGCATATTACTTTGGTCATAAATCATAATTTTAAACAATCCCTCCCTCGTTAAGGCATATACTTTTGACATCTGATGCAAGCTTCACCACCAACTTGAGATGTCCACAGAGTTTCATAAAAGAGTTAAATTTGATTAAAAGAAAATGGCCTAGTAACTTACCTGAATTAATGCTTCACTTAGTTTTGCTTCATCTACTTCTAATATAATGTGTTTTATTTCTTGGTAAGGCATGCGAAAAGATCCCAGGAAAATAGCTGAAATGACATACCATCATAATTTGAGAGAGGACATTAAATGAATGCCTCTCATACATTTTATGGTGAAAAGTATGGCTTTTATCAAGAACTCTTAATCTGAAGACAGGTTTATACCTATTTTATGCATTGTACTGCATTGCATAAAATAAAACAGCATTTTTTACAATGAAGTTGTGGCATGAAGGGTAAAAATGTAACTTAGAAATGTAGGCAACATGGTACAAGTCTGGGGACAGATATACAATATCTGAAAATACTGATTTTCTGTTGTTGTTTGTGTGTGTGAGTGTGAGTGAGTGATACCTTGGTATTCAATTGTTTTTAAACTCATCCAATTTGGCACTCAACACATCTTGATGTTTGTTCCAGTACTCGTTGTTTGTTTAGTAGTCAACGCGTAAGTTGGAACTTATTGGTGTCGGCTGCCTTGTGACTAACTTACATTATTTCTTATGGGGAAAAATTGTTTGGTACTCATTGTTTTTGTTACTCATCACATTTCCCAGAACCAATTAATGATGAGTACCAAGGTACCCCTCTCTCCCTCTCTCTCTCTCTCTCTGTAATGTTAATACAGTTAAGTTCCAATGCTTTAATTCCTAGATTTATGAGAGAAAATACCACCATCAAACTGAACCCAAGTCCTAATGAAGGAACAACCATATATACACCAGTCAAAACAGAGCTTTGTTACATATCTATTGTCATCCATTTCTGCTGAAGAAATGATATCGCCACAGGGAACTGCTGAAAACAAGGGCAGTGAAGACAATATAATCCATTCCTATAATAGTTTACTTCTAAATATCGAACGATAAATCTATTCTTTATATTATTTTTGAAAAGGCTGGAGAAAAAAAAAAGCTCACATGAGCCCTGGATAAAATGAATATATTACATACACAAATTTTGGGCAGTCTTCCCATCCAATATTCTTAATTCTTTCACTTTCTTCTTGGGCATTATTATCTTCTTCTCCTCCACATTCTCTACTGTCTTTTTCACTACAAAGCAAAAAAAAAAAAAAAAAAGCAACATCCTTGATTATTTACATACACAGAAACCTTTAAAATGCCAGAATTGGTTTCCTACATTATCTTAAGATCTTCCTTAATTAAAAGAACAAAAAATATCAAGTGAACGTGCACGTTAAAAATAATGGGAAAGAGTAACATTTGAATTTTTGTTTTGGGATTTAAAAGATGATTTTGATAAGGCTAGGCTACAGTTGTGCAAATTTAGAGTTTCAACCAATGCCAAAATAGACTGGTCTACTCTTTTCCATCATCTCAACCCTATTCAACTGGTTGTCTCTAAGACCCACAATTTCTTTTCTCAGCATGTTAGGGCCTCCTACTGGTTCGCATCCACACAACACCAAACTGTTTGGTGTTTGACTTATTCCACAATCAGGCAAAGTTAATTTAAAACACAGCCAAGGGAGCTGGGAAGAAGGTACAGGTGTCAGAGAAGGCAGAGTTAAATGCTTCACAAAACAAAACAAATCTGAGGTATCTATATTAAACCTGTTGGTAAGCAACCGTGATTTTGTTTTCGGTGAATATGGAGATCTATTTTGTGAGCTATCACGTCTTTGTTTATTCAAGACGGAGAGAAAAGAGCTGATGCAACATGCTGTAAGATATTGTTTTCCAGATTATGCTTATGTGATGAGCTCCATGTGCAGCTGAGGAAAAAAGGAGTCTACGGTACTGCCTATCCCTGAAATTAATGGATCCCCGGGAAAGGATAATTTTATTTTGACACCTGCTTTATACCTGCACTTGTAACAATGACATTTGCCAATGTGAACGAGGAAAGGTAGAAGAAATTAAACGCAGCCAATTGTTCTGGTGACAAGGAAAACCCCAAAGAAGGTGGCAATGGTTGAGAGACTTAATTAACTAAAACTTCACTATTAGCCTATCCCAAAAATCTGGAAACACATGGGTTTTGAAAATTAACAGCTGCATTCTACTTAATGTACTCTCACACCTGATCATTAACTCAATTACTGAACTCCATTAAACGTTACCTCCACACAATTTAACAGTTATAATGTTAAGACAAAGCAAAATATTGAACACCGGTGGTGACAAGGTAGACTAGAGGATAAAATGCTTGAATAAGGAAGTTTTATTTTATTTTTTAATAATATTTTATTATTACACAATATGACAATCACATAACATACAACATATAAATATCTCCTCTTTTTTAAACTGTTTTTCTTCGTGGTCTTCTTTTCGTTTTATATTTTTCCCTCCCATCACTCTCTTACTATTTCATTTTTTTTTCCCCCATTGTCCTTTTTCCTTTGGTTACATTGTATTTTCCAACACGGGTAATCTTAATTTTATACATATCTATACACTTGTTAAATACATATTTTATACTTTTAATTATAAGCTTAATTTTATACATTTCTATGTATTTGTTATATACATATTTTATATTTTTAACTTCTTGCCTGTAGTTATTATTCTTTATTTCTGGACTCAAGCCATTCACACCATTTGTTCCAAATTATATAGTAATCTGTCACTTCTTTCTCTTTAATTTCTTTTGTTAATTTGTCCATCTCGGCATATTCTAAAACTTTTTCTATCACTTCTTCGTCTGTTGGAGTCCTTTCCTGTTTCCAATTTTGTGCATATGTTATTCGTGCAGCCGTTATAATATGTAGAATCAGATATTTTATTTCTTTGGTGTATGTTCTCGTAAATATTCCTAACAAAGATGTTTGAATAAGGAAATTTTAAACGGTAAACACCTCACCCTTGGGTGTAAACTTGTATGGCAAAAAAATATCTTGATATATCAAAGGCTCTTCTCTGAGCTCAGGGTGATGTAAACAGCACAGTCGTGGCTTTGTCTGTTTGTTCTCAAAATTCTCCTGCCAATCAAAATTATTTTACCGACCAGACCTGCAACCTACTTTCCCTGCCAAACTGAGTGGGTAGGACAGGATGATGTGAATGGGACAAGACGGTTCCTCAGGTAGCCCTGCCCCATGCCGTCAAATCTCTTCAATTCTATCTGGTCCATTTTTAGACATCAAATTGCACTAATATATAGAATAGAATAGAATAGAATAGAATAGAATAGAATAGAATAGAATAGAATAGAATAGAATAGAATAGAATAGAATAGAATAGAATAGAATAACAGAGTTGGAAGGGACCTTGGAGGTCTTCTAGACCAATCCCCTGCTTAGGCAGGAAACCCTACACCACTTCAGACAAATGGTTATCCAACATCTTCTTAAAAACTTCCAGTGTTGGAGCATTCACAACTTCTGGAGGCAAGTTGTTCCGCTGGTTAATTGTTCTCACTGTCAGGAAATTCCTCCTTAGTTCTAAGTTGCTTCTCTCCTTGATTAGTTTCCACCCGTTGCTTCTTGTCCTGCCCTCAGGCGCTTTGGAGAATAGCTTGACTCCCTCTTCTTTGTGGCGGCCCCTGAGACGTTGGAACACTGCTGTCATGTCACCCCTAATCCAGGGGTGGGATCCTACCGGTTTAACAACCGGTTCGCTGCGTGTGCGTGCACAGTTTGGAGAAAACTCACCTTCCGCGTTGCTATCGGCAAGAAAAACAGCTGAGGCGCAGCAATCCACTCTGCCGCCCCCAATCAGCTGGGTTTCGGAAACGGAATTATAGGTGAGTATAACGCAGAGGCGGGCGGGCCCACTTCAAAATCGGAGTGAACCAGTTCGCTCACGGCTGAAAGTCAGAGCTAACGTTTCGCCCGAACCGGTAGAATCCCACCATTGCCCTAGTCCTTCTTTTCATCAGACTAGACATACCCATTTCCAGCAACCATTCTTTATATGTTTTAGCCTTAATCATCTTTGTTGTTCTTCTCTGCACTCTTTCTAGAGTCTCCACATCTTTTTTACATTGTGGCGACCAAAACTACACAATTTACACAATTTACACTATCTCATAACAAATGTCCAAATAAATGTTTATGTGAATGCCTAGAAAAGTGTGCCATCTATCTGACCATTCCTAGGTAAGAAAAGATTCGCTTCCACAGTAATAATCACCTCTCGGTACAAATCAACAAGCCAAAAATATTATCTGTATGACTAACATGGGGGTCTGCAACCTTAAATACTCAAAGAGCCATTTGGACCTGTTTCCCACAGAAAACACTGGGAGCCACAAAATTTGGGTGGGAGTGGCCAACTCGATGTCACTCACTTCCACCAGTCACATGACCCCCCCCCAGCCATGCCTATCCAGCTGGTCATTAGGGCAGAGAACCAGTTGTTAAAAAACACCAGGAACCACAAAATCCTTTTGACATATCTCTCTCTCCCCACCCTCCCGCTCTCCCCCCTCCCCCTCTCTCTGTACCTCTCTGTCTCTCTCAATCTCCCCCCTCTCTCTGTATCTCTCTGTCTCTGCCCTGGCCGCTTCTCCATCCTCCCCCATCGCCCTTACCTTCTCAGGCCAGGTGAGGAATGACTGGGAGAGAAGGGCGAGGGGCAGGGCCAGCCAGTGGTGGGATCACCTGACAGGGCGCTACAGCAGAGGGCCCAAAGAGCCACATGCGGCTCGGGAGCCGCAGGTTGCTGACCCCTGGACTAACAGATCACTGCTAAATCTTAATTCCAAGTTTAATCATTCAAAATCATTACGTCAGTCATTTAATTAAAGGAGATTTAACATTTCTCCTTTTCACCTTCTCTAAGTGTGCGTCCTTAACATCACTTTCTTTTTCATTTAATTAATAAACACATAACCTGTTTTTTGTTTTTGTTTTTGTTTTTTTTTTTGTTTAAGGAACATTTATGTTGACTTAAACATTAACAATTATACACGCAGAGACACAAAGTAACGTTAAGTTACACAACAGCACCACATGCTTTTGTGCTAAGCAAAGGAGACACCTCTCTAAACCAATGATTAGATGTGTTGACTCAGCTTCCCCTGGGAAGGCACTTTATAGAATAAACCCTTTAACAGAAGAGTAAAAGTTACATACATTAATTTTCCACAAACACCTGCTAACATTTAATAGAAAATGATGCTCCAAGCTCTTTTCTTGGGAGTTTCAAATTCTTTAAATGATCATCCAGGTTTTTACGTACAGGTAGTCCTTGACTTGCAACAGTTCATTTAGTGACCGTTCACAGTTGCAAGGACTCATGACCGTTTTTCACACTTACGACCATTGCAGCACCCTCCCCCCATGGTCACGTGATCAAAATTCAGACACTTGGCCACTGACTCATATTTAAGAGTCACGTGATCACCTTTTGCCTCCTTCTGATAAAGTCAAAGACAAAGTCAATGGGGAAGTCAAATTCACTTCACAACCGTGTTACCAACTACAGTGATTCACTTAACAATCAATGCAAGGAAGGTTTGAAAATGGGGCAAAACGTATGTCAGCATTGGAAGCAGTGGTGGGTTCCTCCCGGTTCGGTCCGGTTTGGCCGAGCCGGTAGTGGTGACGATATGACATCACCGAACCGGTTCTCCCCCCCGCCCTCCCATCCACCCACCCACCCATGTTATTCTTACCTTTTATTTGGTCCCACCCCCAATCTATTGCTGCCTCCTGAGTCCCAGCTGATGACTAGAGGGAAAAAAACTGTTTAAATTCTTGTCGCGGGGCTTCAAAGGGCCGTCCTACAGCTGATCAGTGTAAAAAGCAAACAAATGAGTCGGGTCATAAGTGCGAGGACTGGTCGTAAGTGTGAGGACCTTCCAGAAATGACTCTGACCAGCTAGCCACACCCACCTAGTCACATGACCTCCAAGCCACACCCACAAAATAAGCCACACCCACAGAACCAGTAGTAAAAAAATTTAGAACCCACCCCTGGTTGGAAGCCATATTAGGCCAGAAGCTTCCATGCTGCCACCTTCTCATGTGTGGGAAAGTAGGAGGGGGGATTAAGGAGAGGGGTGGTTAGTAGACATAATAGCATTATTCCTGTCGGTCAAGGTCAGGGTGATCTGGCATCTGGAGGAGGAGTGGTCGGAGTGC